GATTCGGCCCATGACACATTTCTCAATAAACATGGAATTCAGCGGTCGATATCACCAGATTGGCTCATGAGCCACCGCCTTCTGGCTTAGGACTCTAGGCGATTTCATAGGTACACACACATATATAATTTGAATTTGAACAGCCAAGACCAAATAACATGTCAAATATGTGCAAACATACTCCCCATGCACAGTGCCTGGCGTGACCAGCCGATTGATAGATCCATGCCCATTTTACCATCCGTCTAGGTGAAGTAAGGGTCGAAGTGGTGTGTTGGGCAAAGGAACGTTATTCCTGGAACCAGTGCCCTCAACCACAAGACTCCCGTCTACAACGACAACGTTACAGCGGAAGCCAGGCTGTAACACCAGGGCTACAGAGATGCCATACTACACTAAATAAAAACATGAATAACCATGATTGGCATGCCACCTCAACATGTTTAAATGATTTTGATTTTTTTTCCTTCTCGACTTATTTTTTCATTTTAAATGTTCCCGTAGTTATATTTTGTTCTCGGAGTTGTTCTGGTTGTGACTCAACAACAGGTGACTCTGGTACGGGTTTCAGCGGTATCTCAGTCTGGAATATATCTCAGTAATGGAATACAACATAGATTGTTTGTCCAATACCAAAGATATTGCGGTCTGACACTCATTTTCTACTTTGTGTGAAGGGGAGGAAGCTGCACCAGAGTAAGGTTGCGTGAGATTTACAGGTGATAGATCTGCTACGAATTTCGTGTGTACTTGATTGTTAGTTGTGTTTTGATTTTGCTTTTCTCTCAAATTTTGTACACGATGACATGTGTTTACCAATACCACGTGATATTGGTGCAATTATCAACCTCATGTTGTTCACTGTAACGGGAGCAGACTGAAGTGTTCTTACAAAACCTGGCACCATGTCGAAATTGCTGACATCTGAAGCAATCAGAGTGGATCTGGGATACATAGATCAACTTTCAGGTTGAAATTACTAATTTTAGAGAGAGCAAAAGTAAAAAGGTAAGTGTTAGTGGAAATGATTTTATCGTGATCTTTCTTTAAAAGCGATGACACCTTGAGGTTTGAATTCTGCCACCTCGAGGACCCGTGAAGATCCGGGGTAGAATAGGTCTTCAACAACCCATGCTACAAAAGGCGACTATGCTTGTCGTAAGAGGCGATTAACGGGATCGGGTGGTCAGGCTTGATGACTTGGTTGACACATGTCATCGGTTCCCAATTGTGCAGATCGATGCTCATGCCGTTGAACACTGGATTGTCTGGTCCAGACTCGATTTTTTACAGACCGCCGCCATATAGCTGGAATATTGCTGAGTGCGGAGTAAAACTAAACTCACTCACTCACTCACTCTGCTACCTTGAGGTTTGAATTCTGCCACAATTTCATCCTCTGACATGTCCCACAAGCATTTGGAGCGAACCCGGATAATGCCGAATTCAGTGCTTTGTGCTCAGAGACAACAATCGCTGTATCAGCAAAGTAATGAGCATTGAGCAAATCTTAGGTACTGCTGTATATTGGCGCCATCGACCACCAAACAACCACTGCGGGGACGGGTTACATTCTTAACGTACCACAAATACCCTCTATTGCTTTATAAATAACGAAAACGTTGATCTTGAGTGGTGTTCCATCGATTCCCTCCACAACCAGAAGTCGAGGTTCTTTATATTGTTCAGAGCATTCATCATCTAACAATCTACATCATCTTCATTGACCATGAGATAAAATAGAACGGTAACGTTTATTTCTATTCCAAAACTTCAATAAACATACGAACGACAACGCTGCAAATTGTCACTGACGATTTTTTCTCGGTTTTAAAGTTGTCAGCATATCAAGACTGCCACCCATAATTTACACAAAAAAATTACAGGTTCAAACGTTACAGAAATGTCCAACAGTGATTGAAGAACAAGACAGCTAACATAGTAGTATTCTATCTTGACATAATAGTAAGGAGATCGATAACAGTGCAGATTTTCAAAAAGAATATTTTCAAAACAGTAATAACGATTGAAGATGAATAATGAACAAACACATCTGTGAAGATATACTGCACTTAACACTGGCTTCCATCACTGATCTAAAAAAATCACTACATTTCCCCCATGGTAAAGTAAACAAACCTGTCGTCAGACCATGCATGATATGAGTAGTAATGTGGGTAACGTTTGTATCATATGAGGGTATAGCGTGACACATGTTCTATTTGATGGTTTTCTAGTTTCATAACACATGCTGAAGGAATTGCGTGAAAAGTCAAACACATCTAATTATAAACCATAGGGAATGGACAGAAAACATTTGAACATTTCCTGAAACAGTGCAAAGAATGTAATTCTTTGAAAGAAAATAGTTATACTTTCATCAAACAGACCTGGATATCACAAGTAAATGAGAAAATGTCTGCTATTGCATTTAAGACGTAAAATACAAACATTTTACAGAAACACACATAAATACATTGAGCATTAACATACTAATGTCAAACCGGTGTGTAACACGTAACGTGTGTATCGTAACGAAGGTAATACATCCAAACGACTTTTAAAAGGTAAGTATTTAAGTCTATTGCTTGTTTGCTAAACTATTAAGTTAAGATATCAATACATCTAAAATGCTTGGGATCTGTATTCTTTCATGGAATCGTATGGTAAGTGGAAACTGCAGAGGTCACAAGGTTACAGAATGGTAAGTATTTACTAACAACCAGTCAAATAAACACTTTTTGTAAATGATTTTGTGTCTTATTTTGATTCGTGGTTCACAATGCTTAGAGTTTAGCATCTGAATTCAATGATTGTCAGATATGCTTAGTTTTTTTTATCATATAGGGTGACCACTATTACAATGATACATGCGTTACCGCTTGTAGCGTATGTATCACTGAGAAACACAAACACTGAAGTGTTAAAACAGCAAAATAGATCACTCCTGTAACTCTAGATACATGTATATAAACTTAATGCATGTACATAATTTCAAATTCTGACACATCTAGTCGACTTATCTGCACTTTCAGCGCTCGTCAATACATCACTGAAAGCCATGATATTAATGCTATTTAAATTTCTTCTTCAAGAAACTTTGAAGCAAATGGCGGTGCCTGGGACACGTGACTCATACTTCATTCATATATCTGCCGTAGTTTCGTATTTTTGACTGTTTCTTATTTTGAGTAACGTAGGTATCGGTAACGTATGTATCACATCAATCTTCGCCGGTTTCTAGTTGTCTTAAAGAGTTTACAATGAAGTCTTGTCATTGATGACGTATGACCCTGTTTCTCATAATAAAGTCTGATAAATAGTACCTTTAAACGTATGACAATGTACATGTGGTAACGTTTGTATCAAGACAAATTCACGCTTGACCCATGACTTCTCTAGCCTTAGGTTATCAGCCCAATATGGTACTAATAGTTATATTCGCAAAATAATTGTGTATTTCTATATGAAATACATTATTCCTCGGCCTTACTAATCATGACTAAAAACATATATATATTAATACGATCAATCTTGATATGGTAACGTACGTATCTTGTAACCTGGCGACCTTGCTTTATTGTTTTCATGGTAATGAAGATGTATACAATTATCAGAAGAAATGTTCATGATTGCTTATATATCAGAACCAATAACCTACAGGGTTGTCCTTAGTCACAGCCAGACATGACACAATGAGAAGTTTGCCGGCGACTGGTAACGTACGTTTGGTTTTGCAACATTAAGCCTCTGGCATTTTCATAACGTTACTTACAGCAATGACCTTTCTAGTTCAAAAATGTTGTGAACAATAACTCTACTAAACGAAATTTTGTACTTGACTCTTTAATCAGTTTTGAACTGTGCAATAAGCTGTGACATCAAAAGTATCTCATTACAGAGAATGAGTGTGAAACGGTATCAGTTTCTACATGTCTCCGTATTTTTAGAAGGAGAACCAGTGTATTGTAGGTTAGCCATGTTGTGAGGATGTAAGTTCGACAAGCCTGCTCCCCACCCGCCATCGAGTGTCATTGCAGCGATAACCAGACTGCACCACCAGGGCTACAGGGTTGCTATACTCCAGCAAATTGAACATGAAAAGCTGTGGAAACTAAAAGAATAAATACAGATTTCGGAGGTCCGTATCATCAGATCGGCCCATGAGCCACCGCCTTTTGGCATACGGCTCAAGGCAAAATATAAATTTGCTTTAATGGCATCATCTTCCATAATGAAATATTTGAGATGATTATTTTAAATGATAGTTTTCCATGCACAGGGCATGGTGTGACCAGCCGGTTGATAGAAAACCGGACCCATTCTGTGAGGAATGGGCCAGGTTCTGTCAATCGGCTGGTCACGCCATGAAAAACGTAAACGTAATGTTTCCACCATTGATGTTACACGCTGCAGCAACTACAAACCAAGAATCAGCTGCTACTAGGACTGTGTCAACTGACATGCATGATCGTTGGTTACTAAGGGTGCGTTTGATAACGGTGGGGTAGACTGGAATGATATATAGTCACACCAGTGCAGTATGACGTAATGCAAAATGTTTACTTTATCACTTGATAAAGTAATGTGAGCTAACTAGACGAACCGAAGTAACCTTTAGGGATTATTTCGGCAATTTCCAGCAGTGGATTTTGCAAAGTCTTCAAGCCGCAGAGGTTTACAAGCACAGATAAGTAAACTGATCCTACTCGGCTTGTCCCTGGGTTATTGTTTCAAATTTTGTCTCTCATAACAACCATCCCCAAATTTCCAATGAATAATCGCCGTTTGATCGCCATTTGATAAATGTGACGTCATGTTTGTAACCACTGAAATATTCCTTACTTAACCTTTCACATTTGCATCGATCTGCATATCTAAATGACCTTAACGGATATCGTATGTATCCGCTGAGTTGAAGATATTTTTGAAAATAGTGTTAGCTGAAATATTACATACCTTTCTAGGAGGTCCGTCGTTTGGGATGAAGTGCATCAAATTGCGCCTTCGGAAACTCAGCATGCGCAGACGGCGTCTGTGTATGCGTGACGGGGACAAGCTACGACGTCACGACTGGCAACTGTCTGATTCGTGAGTATTTGGTATCAGCAGGGTGATTTGGTTGCTGCTGATATAGAGCACTAAGAGGTCTAAGGCACCATAAATTCTGACGCAACCTCGAGTCCCTAAGCAACTCCTTGGAGCAACAGGATGTAAAAATACTATGTCTCTTTACCATGTCAGGATATGTCAATGTCGATGTTGTTGTGTGTAAATCCTGGGCAAACATTTGGTTCACAGTCATTGGGATTGGTTGTTGTACACTGCGCTTGATCACCTCACACATCCATTCACTTTTAGAGCTTAGGGACAATTAGTATCTGGAATCCCTGCTTTGAGAGTATAGGTATTGACCCTCGCCGACGGTGTCGATGTAAATATTAGAGGTCAACGTCAAGGAATAACTGATCTTGATTCAACTGGGCTTTAAAGGCAAAAGAGCGATGGTTAAAGAACGTGAACGTTTCACTGGAAGTAAGTGATGACACCAGGTTTTCGCAAAAAGGGTACGTATTACACCGTCGTTATTCACTGAACTTCCAGGATATATTGAAAGTCTTGTCAAGGTATCCTAGTTATATTTGTTTCTATATAGGTCAAGGTGGTATCTAAACTCTAACCACACAAATATGTCTGTTTACAAGGGTACATGTGTTGAAGGAAGTAATATAAGGGTAATGCTATTTATGAGGGCATTTTCATTTGCAGAAGCCCGAGGTCTTCCATTAACTGCCCGACGAAGGAGGGCAGTTGAAAAAGACCGAGGGCTTCTGCAAATGATAAAGCCCTCAAAAATAGCATTACCGTTATTATTGCTAAAATACATAGAATTTGTGTTGAAAAGAAAAAGGAAACAATAAAGAAATTTGACTGTAAGTTTACCCAAATCAACTTCTGACGGGGTTGACTGCCCGAATGCAATTACGTCATCGAACAATTCAAGTGACGTCACAACAAAAAGTGACGATTTTCGACCTTGGCCTTTGACAAGACCATAGCCTGCAACATGTCAAACTATGTCAGTGTTCGGTTTTGGTCCATTAACAACCTTAATAGTGCGATTGTTAAGGTTAGCACTAACAAGAAAGCCAATATTACCTCTATTTAAAGCGGGAATTCGGGTTGCTTTGACTTGTTTGACCCAGAATATCTGCCAGTCGAAAGCCAATTAATGTCGAATGAACCGTAAGCCCACGCACCCACTATGACGTCACTTTACAACAGAACTGATAGTGGCCCGTCGTTAAGGTTGAGCGGTCCAATATAATTTGCAGCGGCCCACAGATTTCTGATAATGGGAGGGCCGTTTCATGATAATTCCATGTATATTAGCTATAAGATCACGTTAAATCAGCAACCCATGATTGGCCGATGTCGTTGCGATACTGCTGAGATAACACTGATACGAGAAAGAATTTAAACTCACTCACTTACACATGAAAGTCCTTGATCAGTATAGTTTCTAAATAAGATGAATACTTTTGATGGTGGAAATATTACTGAGCGAGTGAGTTAATATTTAACGTCACATCGGCAATGTTTCAGCCATATCGTGACGAAAACAATTTATACAATACAAAAATGAAAACATTGTGAAGAGTTAAACCTGTCGACGATGGACAGTAAAAACACTAGAGTATCAGAGATATGAACATAAAACTAGCATGTAGAACTAAAACAGTGTAATGAAAGAAGACAATACAATATAAAACACGGGCTATAGATCGCCAGCATCTGAAAGTAGATCACCATACTAGGAACGGAAATATTACTGTCGCCATGTAATTATGACCTTGGTTAAAAATGCACACGACTAGACTTTGCATATTTCTCTGACGGGTGCCACCTCTGGGGCAGGATACGCTCACCTTTTCGCGAACACCTGGTGTCATCACTATTTCATAGTGATTCATAAACACATGTTCTTTCATCTTATCACTGGTGACAATCACTGGACTTTTTCCACCCACACTCGATTTGTTTACGAATAACATCGTGCAACTGTAATACTGCTGAAACAAATGTATGATTAAGATAGAGTCAAGCTTGTACAATTGACTTTTAGCAGTAAGATATCAGATTCCCTTTTGTGGAAAGGGTTTTGTCGCCTCTATTAATGTTTGTATGGTTGTTGTTTTTTCAGGTTGCACCATATACGGCAGTGAAAGCAGTACTTACCCCGAATCTGGAATCACCAGCTGTAACACCAACGCCCTGACAACGTCAACAATGGAGGCGTGCATTGCCGCATGCAAGGGAGAGACTTGCTTTGTGTGTATCAGTGCGGAGTATCACCACGGTGGTGGCACATGCCACCTCTGTGACACACCCGCTCTAGAGCTCCCTGAGGGGTACGTTAGTTCTGGTACCGCTCTTGGCTGGTCCCTGGCAGTACGACACTGTGCACAATAACAATACTGCAATAACAATACTGCAATAACGATACTGCTCATACTGTGACAATGAATCAGAACGGACAGCAAGACACAGCAACTTACCGAGAGGGAGACTATTCACATTTATGTTTCAAACGTCTGTGTCTTTTTGACAGCGGTATTGGCTTCCAGGTCATTGGATAAGCGTTTTGTGACTAGGTATGACAAAGTTGATGCTGTAACAATTAGTAGCAAAAGGTAAGAATAACGGTCTGTCGCATTTGCTATTTGATTGCAGCTTTTGTGACTGGGGTAATATAAACGCCATGCTCAGTGAACTACAAAGAACTGACCAGAGGTGCAGTTTAGGAAGCCGTTTTGATCATCCTTCAACCTTGTACGCATTGTTTGAAATCGTCGTTATCAATTTCAATAGTTTCAAACCAATGCGTCATAGGCATTAACAACATGTTCGTCAACTGTTGATCACATGCTCGGACCCATTGACGCTGGTTTCATGTTTGACAGTATACCTACCTTGGTGACCCTTCAGAATGAGTATATAATTGGAGATTTATTAGAGCTAGAAAATATAGTGAACTCCGAATTTGTGATTTGTGTTTTCATGCGTAATATCTCCTCCATATACTGAAAATATTCAAGAAACAAACCACATCCATTTTGTTCACACGGAGGTCCACTTTAATACTTTTTCCCAATTTGTAGAAATTAAGTATTTGAATTATTTGGATTACATTTTTTTCCTGTTTCATCATGCTACAAAGCACATGCTTGTGTCAGTTGGGTTAGCTGGGCAGAAGCGGAAACGTCCGTTACAATGAACCCATTGTCATCTTTGATTGCAGTTCGGAAAGAAGTTGAAAATTTGATGTTTGTGATATACATATGATGCACCATAAATGAAAACAGCAATATACGTTACCAACACAATATCTTTTGGAAAACATTCGAAGTGGATGTAACAAATGTTATACTGGTGATTACATTGTGTTAGCAGGGTACAAAGTCCAGGTATTTGTGGGGCCTGTGTCTTTAGCTGATTACAAATCGACTTACAGAAGAATCTTTCTCTCAGTAATACACCTGTTTTTAGATCGCAAGATAAATTAACCCATCCTTGATCCAGATCTAATATTCGAAGACAATTTAACAAATAGTATACTGGTGATTACATTGTGTCAGTAGGGTGCAAAGTCCGGGTATTTGTGGGACCTGCGTCTTTAGCTGAAACAAATCGACTTACAGAAGAATTATCTTTTTCAGTAATACACCCGTTTATAGATCGTAAGGTATTTTCGTGTACTTTATATGAGGAAAGAAAAGTTAACCCATCCTTGTTACAGATCTTATGGATCTGATTTTGAGTTTGTTGACAGGAAGTCGAGGTCTACCCAGTTGCTTCGAACACTACTTCTGGCCATTGAGGAGTTACTTGTGTGGAGGAATGCCAACCATTGTGTGTGATTTTCATTTGTGTCAGCTGCAGTTTACAATCCCAACCTGAAGCCCATTTCCCTTCTGAGGGACACTAATTCTCGTCTAACTCCGCTTTTGGATGCAATGCTGCTGCTGTCTTAAGACTCGCCAGTTGACTCTGAGGTCTTACTCTCCATTTTGTGACAAGGAAGACAGGTTTCATATAAGAGAAAAAGCCCTGTACTTCGAAGTTACAGAGTGTTCCCTCACATCATTGACGAGAGCAAAGTATTGTCCCAGGCGTTGACCTGAGTTGTTTTTTACTTGTCAGTATCCCACACCTTGGATGGCGTTCCTTTGTCTGAACTATATACTCTCATACTTCGGTTCTGACGATTTGGGGTGTGTGCGAGGTACTGTGCCAGCCCCCGAGGGCACTTGGACCTTTACCGTAGTTCCTCCAGCAAACACAAGACGATGATCTTCTTTCAATAGCTTTTTATTTACTCTTAGCGTTGCTGGTCCAACCCACTGTAATTGTCACTTAATTAGGAGACTTCAGCCGCAAAGGTTCAGTCTCAGTCGAAATGCTGGTGCCTTGAGTATGATCCTTAGTTCGAGAGTTAGTGACAATCAGATGAGAGCAGACGCGCCCTAGACCTCAGACTTGGGTCCTCGAGGCGCGCACCAGTCTGACTATCGTGAGCTTTGCTTCACCTTAAGACTCGGGATCCTACGTCACAGGCAACAACATACTTGTTTTGCTATTGGACAGTAACCCTTTCGGTTCCTAATTTCTACCCCTAATACATTATTCCTACAACTGCGTGATGAGATCCAGGAATTCTGATATCACTTTCCCTATGACCATATATATCTTCCATAATTCCAAGAACCCCTCCCCCTTCTGGCTTTTCTCTTTTTCTGTCATGAAGGACCCGTGAATGTCCGGATTAGAATATTGAGCTTCAGTTACCCATGCTTGTCGTAAGAGGGGACTAACGGGATCGGGTGGTCAGGCTCGCTGACTTGGGTGACACATGTCATCGGTTCGCAATTGCGCAGATCGACGCTCATGCTGTTGATTACTGGATTGTTTGATCCAGACTCGATTATTTACAGTCCGCCGCCATATAGCTGGAATATTGCTGATTGCGGCGTAAAACTAAACTCACTCACTCACTCTGTCATGAAGGTGTCTGACTCGGATGTTGTTACCCTGGTAACTCAAAATGTTTTTTGCTTTCTACATCCACTTGGCACGGATATAATGTATAGTCACTCCTCCTGGCTGACTCCCAAGTGTACTAACATTTCTTCCCTGGAATTCCTACCTTAGAGATTATTAAATCACGGTACCACTTGTTCCTTATTACATCTTAATTACCTGTATATAAGGATCTAGTCTTCATATCAATTACATACCAATTATCTAAATGAGTATCAAAATGTCATGCCTATAATAGTATGTGTGAATGACTATGAGGAAACAGAAGGTGGTAAGAACTAACTGTTGGGAGTTTTCGAATGGGTCAGATAAATTCACAAAGAGTGGCCAAATATGCTTTGCATTCTGTACTCATACATGTACAGAGGTATTAACACACATAAAGTAGCTGTGGTGACACGGGATGTTCTCTTTTTCCCTGCAGGTATTGTTTAGGGATTAAAATCAGTGGATAGTACTAATCCTTATAACAATGGGGATTAAAGCTATAGTCTATTTTAGAAACGCATGTATGCCAGCAAATAAGGAGAAACGGTAAAGCTTATCACATTTAGTTTATTTGATATATCACTCGCAAATACAATAAATGTACGAATATGAATCATTTGAGAAATATGGTGACATTTTTAATTTTTAATTTTACCAATATTGCATGTAACATGAACAAATACACAACATCTCCAGTGGACAGGTTGGTTTCTCTTGATTTCACTCTAAACTATAACCATTGAATACTAAACTCTGGCCACCCCAGGAATTGGGAACAAAATTGAACACGTGCCTCTGCCATTGTAGAATGACTAAACTAAAAATGCTGTTTTATAACCCCCATGGCTCATGTCATATTTGATTAGTTCCAACCACTGAGTTCACTAATCATTATTAGTTCAATGTGGTCAGTGAGTGAACTTGGTGGTGAGTGAAATCCACTTACTCCACTATAATTCTGCAAGCACTGGACTGTTAGTCCTAATCCGCTTATAGCAAATCAAAGTGCAGGCAAAAACAGAATACACCGGTGGATCACAAGTGTATGCATTAGGGACGCCCATTTGGTGTCACAGATAGTGCCTGTAAAATATGAGTTGACCAATAGTGTACGTATGTAGAATATAAAAACAGTAAGATCTTGGTAAAACCTATGTCCTGGTTTAACAGTACACACATCAACGGCTCAAAAATGATCTGGAGTCTTTATCAAAGGGATAAGAGCCAACCATTGGGTCACCCAAGTGACATGATTTATTGTCCAAAACGACACATAGATCGGGCACATGAACACCACTTATTGTTGAAAGTGTGGAGTGAGATGTACACAAAGCGATCATCACATAAGAAACAAGGACACCTTTCGGGGATTATTTCAGCTAAATACAAATTGTGGCAAAGGAAGCAAACTGAAGATGTCAACAAACACAGATAAGGAGATGATCCTATGTGTCCCTGGGCAATTGTTTCATATCTCTCAAGTTGCCCAAAAAAAAGGCTCAGCTCTGTCTCACTGATGTTTGGATTGTTTTCATCGTGGTACTAATTTTCCTAATTTTCTCCCAAGATTCTCGGTTGCTAATAGGCCGCGTAAGATGGCGACAAACACTGACTAATCTCTATGACGTCACTACCGGCAAAATGGACCCGTGAAGATCCGGGGTAGAATAGGTCTTCAGCAACCCATATTTGCCACAAAAGGCGACTATGCTTGTCGTAAGAGGCGACTAACGGGATCGGGTGGTCAGGCTCGCTGACTTGGTTGACACATGTCATCGGTTCCCAATTGAGCAGATCGATGCTCATGCTGTTGATCACTGGATTGTCTGGTCCAAACTCGATTATTTACAGACCACCGCCATATAGCTGGAATATTGCTGAGTGCGGCGTTAAACAACAAGCAATCAATCAATATTGATTTGACGTGAACAATTAACCTGTGATCATGAATATGCTTGTTTCTTTTTTTAAAATTGAGTTCTCCTCGTCAATGTTATATCAAGACATACACTAATTAATGAATGGTCATGATAAACTCACTCACTCACCGGCAAAACGTGATTGCGTGGATGAAGAATTTTGCTTTTAGTGCTTTGATACCGGCCCTTTGTGAAGAGTGTGTGAGTTAAAATTTAAAGTCACATGGGCAATATTTCATCCATATCGTGACTAAAACAGTGTTTAATTTATAACTTCATCATAAATACATGTAAATCACTACAATCCTGTCAACAAAGGACAGTAAAACTTACTAAAATATCACAGACATATAAAATAAAACTAGTGTCTATCTCTAAAACTGGATTTCAAATTAGGACAACACAATATAAAAAAACGGGCTATAAATCGCCAGCAACCGAAGGTAGGTCACCATACTAGGTACAATCAGGACTTACAGTACCTTACAGTATCGCCGTTGGCGATTATAGGAAAGTTAAGCCATAATTTAAAACCACAAGAATGCTACGTTTAAAAATTCTGGTAAGTTGAAATGTAGTTTGAAGTTTTTTGGACTTACGTATCCTCGCAGGAGGACAATAATTTTGCAGTACGTTAACCCCCTTTGAGGATACAGTCACTCACAATCGCAGTTGATAATCTCAAATACCAATAAGAAAACATTAATCTATTTCCAAAACATATTTTAAACTTCATGCAACAATTCTATTTCTTTTAAAAACTCAATAATCAAACGAAAATTTACATTATTAAGAAGATCTTTGACCTTTTTATAAAAATGAACTATTTATTCTTTGCGATGGCCCTTTGTGAAGAATATCGAAAGAGAAAAGTCATGCGTATTTTCAATTCAAATATACTGAACCACAAAAGAAATGTCGCACCGATAGCGGTTTCTTAAAGCACACACTTTAATTCACTCTAATTGACAATCAAAACGGAGGATTGAGTTCAAACTTGACAATTATGGTTAACACATTTTCGGGAA